TCCACTCTTCCTTTTTATTTTATGTTTTTGTCTTAAATGTTTCTTTTTTTTTCTTTCCAAATTTGTTTTAAATGATATGATTGTTACCACTTACGCCTATAAGCCTCATATTATGCAATGTGGAGCATGAGGAGTTTTGCAAATATAAATTAATTAAAATATACAATAAGATTTTATTTAACTCACATAGAGGGTATTTAAAAAAAAAATTCTAAATGTAAACAAGATCATTCCAATCCATTAGATAAATGAAACACAACAATTACTATAGTTAAAAATTATACTTTTATTTTTTAAAATTATATAATAATATTTTTTGTTCTTTCATTAATATAAGTTTTGTATAATGACATTAATGTTTCTCCTCTCTTACAACAAGAAATGGTCGAAAGGAAGGCATGGAATCTATGATATTCTATCTTACCTTCGAACTTTTATTAAAGTTCGGATAATTTTGCACAAACTGAATACATACTGCCATAATATGTGCAAAACTTTTTCGAGAACATGTATTACAAACTTCAATGGGCTACATAGTCACATAATAATAACGAGTACAATCACTTGTTTCTAATTAATTAGTCCAAGCGCTTCGGTTTAGGCAATTCTTGCTATTTATAGAAGCTTCCCTTTAAAAAGTACATAATTGTCAACAATAATAAAGTTGGTAACATAGTGAACAGAATACATTCGATGTAAGAGTACATATATAATACAAGAATTTTTTCTTTAAATATTGAAAAACATTTTTGAAGAATTTAAATGTTTGAACATCTTTAGCAGTTACCAAATTTGAAATGTGTTATCAAAATTTTACAAACGGAACAACAAGTACTAGTCTAATGGACGATTTAAATTCACTGAAGAACACTGGATCGCGCATTTATCATTGGACTGTCACTTGAATTAAGACCACTAAGAAAAAAATCTCGAATCTTTTTTCTATTCCACAATCGGAAAAAAAAAGGATGGTCGGGCTCTCTTTATAACTTCCGCATTTTTCATCGTAGTGTGTATATCAGCTACCCCTATCATCAGCTAAAGATGATATACCCCTATCATCAGCTCAAGAGAAATTAAATTATGATATTATTAAATTAATTTATATATACTAATTAACTTTATATTAGCATGGATAATTAGTTTCTAAATGGAATATTTTCGGAAATACGGTTTTTTGTTGATAGAATTAGAGAAGAATGCTATAAATAGCACTTGTTTCAAATTTCATTTTAATGTGATTAGTTCAGATATTTTCGAAAAACTTGGGAGTGTTTTTCCACGTCACTGTCCACTACATTTTTTTTTCCAGTTGCAGTGAAAATCGTTTAACACGAAACTGAGGGGACTGAAGTATTTTTTCGTGTTAACAGATGTTGCAAAAAAAAAGAAAAGAAAAGAAAAAAGGATATATTCAACAAAATTAAGTTTATCAGAGTACATTTTATTTATATAGATTATGGGCTTGTATATATCCATGCATTTAATAAAAATCAATGAAACAAAAACATTTACAAGAACTTGATGAAATTTAATACAAAATTTTCCAAGTTTTTTAAAAAACAAAACATTTATTGAGTTTTTGGAAAATGATCTGATATTTTTCTTTGCGTTGTCTTTTTTCGCATCAAATTATCAACAAATCGTTCTAAGTCGTCCGTTTTGTTATTCATTTCACCTTTTTTTGGTGTGTCTAAATAACTGCGCATACTTTTTATAATGTTCCTCATTCTGGATGACGTGAGAACAGGAACTGCATTATACATTTCCCTTGCTTTGTCGGAATCTGCATCAAAGATGTTTTTTGAGCTTTGAACAAACTTCAAAGTGTTTGTTTGGGAGAGAATGTTGTCGGCTAATAGAAAAATACCGCTATTACAAATTACTTTAATGGTTTTATGATAGAGGGCATTGGGCCATGACAAAAAACCTTTATAAATGTCATTCCCATGTACACTACTGAAAAATATTTTGCTCCCTCATATTTAGAGACTGGAAAAAAAATTTTCAATTTAATTTCCTAGTACATTATTTTTTATAAACTCAATCCCTCTCATCGAAAAAAAGTTTTTTTATGGTCTTACGGGAAAGGTTTTCAAAAACAATATTTATTTATCTCGTTTATATACTCAATCTCAGTGGCGCAACAGCCCATGAGGGCTAGGACCTACTGTGCCCATCCCAGTATACGTGAACATTGGGCTCTGATATGCATGGGCAGACGTCCCGATCAGGTGGTCAGTCTGAAGTGAGACCCCCAGTGTTTAGGTCCCAATCAAGCTTAGTACTCATTTATCGACCCACTGCAGTAGAGATAAGAGATTGAGTCGGCCTTGCCCAGCCTGGGAATAGAACCCGGACCTGTGGCGTGGAAGCGCGATACGCTTCCGCTCCACCACCGGTCTATCTCGCTTGTATACCCCCTGTAAATATAAGATCCCCACCATACGGTATGTTGGCTAGTGACGCTGACTGCTATGCCGTAGGGCCTGGGTTTGAATTCCGGTGAAGGCATAGGTGTTTGTAAATGTATAATGCCTGTGCCGCATGAGTCACTAAATATTCGTCGAGCCGCAAGTCCTCTCGAAAGGTTGGTGGAAGAGGGAAGAAATTTCCCCCTCCCACCACAAAATTGGCGTGAAACCGAGCCAAAACGTGCTGTCATCTTCATAGTGCTTAAAGCTGCGGCTAACTACAGACGTTAAACCAGCCTGGTGCAAGATGAATTTCGTGAACCTTGATCTGACACCATCGATCGGGTGGCATAAGAAACAATAACAAATATAAGAGGTTATTGGGATATTATCGGGATGGAATTTACGGTAGTTATTCCATTATATTTCAAGCTTTACCAGACACCTAAACTTTTAACAACTATGCTGCAAGGAAAGAAGGGGAGACAAGGAGCAGTTTACTTAGTACTTTTTATCTATATTTAACAGTGATTTTTTAAAAAAATTGTATCAAACACTCCAGTACTTCATTTCTGCGTAATTCAATGTATAATTTTGAAAATATTTTGAAGGCTTTAAAAAAGAATCATTCTTATTGGTCTTCTCAAAAAGCACAACTTTCTTAAGAAAATTGACATGTGTGAAATCCTGGATCTTTTGTTCTTAAAACCTGAAGGACGAATTTATGTTTCGAAGAAAATTTCTCGTTCCAAAAGAAAAAAAAAAAAAGATTTACCTCAAATGTAGCACAGAGTATTAGAAAAAAAAAAGTTTCTAAGTAGACTCGATTTCTCCGGGTCCTCATTCTGAGCTACTTGGAGGGATAACAAAGAAAACAAGGGATGGGAAACTAACTATTTATAGTAACTTATCTATAAAAAGTATTTAAAAAAAGCGGAACTTACTTTTTAAAGTGAAGCGAAGGAAAAATTTTAACAATTTTATAATTAGTCATTTTTATGTTAAAACAATTTGTAGAAGGTATTTACAGATTTTTGAAACGATTTCGGGGTCGTATTTTTAATGTTTAAAGAGTAATAATTTTTTAAATGCGTAAATTCATATGATAACCTTGTATCTAGACCAATGTTTCTCAAACTGTGGAACGCGCCCCCCTAGGGGGCGTGACAACCCTACGAGGGGGGCGCGAGTATATTGAAAAGTCGAAAACAAAAGTTTATCTAAAAAAAATATTGATTTATTGAAAGTAAACAAACAAAATATATAAAAAATGAAATATATATTTACACTAAAATAATACACTTATAAATGTATTAGTACTGTGCAATGTATTTTATAATTAATTTAACAATACTAAGTTAGAAAAAGTTTTATAATTACCAGTGACCCCATGGGCTTGTCATATATAAAATTATATGCAAAAATTAACACTTATCTTGATAATTTGTACGGTATATAATTAATCCTTTAAATGCTGATTAATAATTACGCGTTTCGCTCCACAATACCACCGTTTAACAAGTAAACAAGCGAATGTGATGTATTGGGGAGGATAAAAAAGAAATAAATAAGCAAATCGTCTGAAATAAGTAAAATCCCCCCTTCGTAAACATGTTAAGGTTATCTTATTGCATTCCAAAGCCTCCGGAATATTATTTTATGAATAGAAGTTCACAGAAAAGATTGTACTTCGGAAAGATGTATATATACGTCCGGGTCAATTAACACACTGTCAGCGAGACGTTTATTTACGCCAGAAGCACTTAATAGGTTAAAGTCGTATTGTAGATTTAGCGTCAAAATGTAGTATTATTGAATTTAAAACATTGTTATTGTACGGAGAAGGAGGGAGGCGCGATGAAAATTATGATTGAATATTGGGGCGCTAATATTGAAAGTTTGAGAAGCACTGATCTAGACTCTCTATAAGTTTTCATCGTACTTCTCATGATAGAAAATTATAAACCTGCTGTGTAGAGGGTCTGATAAGCGTTAAATCTGTCCAAGCTCACCGTTTTCCACGTTGACCTGGGATGGAAGCTTTGAGAGTTAGGCCTCAAATGTCCTCCTCGTCACTTGAAGGTGGCTCAAAATGAGAAGACCCGTTGTTAATAGCCTTCGAGTGGTTCCTGAGTGCGACGCAATGGTAGAGACGTAACCAATGGTAGAGAAACTATTCTTAAAATTTCCATGGATATTTGCTCTTTTACTACTTTTCTGGATCTATCAAAGGTGGTGTTTCACGGAACCCTGGGGTTCCTCAAGGCATTCCCAGGGGTTCCACGAGTCACATTAAAAATATCGAAAAGAAACCTATAAATATGTATGCAAACTTATTATTTCTACGAATGTATTATTACAAGTACCTAAAACTTACACATCCTGTTTCTTAAAACTGAAAATTTTTCTTATATATAATAAACTTTATTTTTCAACACTCTTTAAACTTTTATTATAATATAATAAAAGAATATTAAAATGTGTTTTATCTTTATATATATGCTTCCTATATTAGATTGTGAATATTCTATTGTTTATCTTGCGTTCCATGTGATACTTTTATACTCGTTAATTAACACAGTGTCTGCCACACAGTCAGTATGGTGGATATGACTCTCGGCTTGTAACACAGTGGACTCGGGTTCGAATCCCGAACTAGGCATGGATGTGTCCGGGAAAAGAAGTCGGACCTTTTCGCCTGTTATGGATTCCCGTCTCGAATGGAAAGCAGCGCATCCTTCTATTGTGAAGACAAAATGTTACCAGAAACATGCAGTAATATGGGTTACCAAAAACCTTATAATTAGCCGTATAGAATTTGTGAGCCACATTTGTATTCCATGATATATAACTAATAGAGTTCTTTTTCTAAGAATATAATGCTGGCATAACTAATTACAGACGTAATATTTTGTCTTAAAGTAAATATTTATAATTTGTCTTTTTTTTCTGTAGAAATAACCCTTAAGTGCAACATGGCACTTCTGCAAAATAGTTTCGCTTTAACACATCACTAAAATTAGAAAAAAATTCTCATATGCACAATATAACATTCTAGAACAGGGGTGTCCAACTCAAATGACCTTGCTGGTCACTTCGGAAAAACATTATAATCTCTCGGGCCGCACATAAAAATATGTATCTTTATATCAGATTAGGAAACAACAACAACAAAGAAAAAAAAACATTTACGGAAGTGAAAATTTAATACAAAATGAATTATTATTATTATTTTCATTATTTTTCACGTATACAGACATAGATAATATAATAATGTTTATATAATATAATAATGCAATGATCAAATAATGTTTAAAAAATTACAGTTACCATTTTCCTGAAAATTAAGGTATTCCTTCTCCTGTCATTCGCAAACGATTAGGTATACATTGCCCATTTTCTTAACCATCCTGAATATTTTTTTTAAACTTTAAAAAACATCTGTGACTGCCTTTTGCTCTTTTTTGGGCACTCCAAACAGAAAAGGAGGAGGAGAAATGAAAGTCGCCCACACAGAGAATCATGTACCAGCCATAGTAAAGGATATGCATAATGCAATTCGAAATTTATTAAAAAAGTAATTTATTATAGTAAAATTAAATGAAACCGTTTGATAAAATATAAATCTATTTTAATCTCTAAAGGACATTTCTATTATCAAAAAGGATTTATTTTAAAACAAGAGCAGGTAACAAGCAAATACATTGTAGATTTATATACACTGCTGGCCAACGTAAATGCAACACCAAGAAAGACGAGATAGCACAACAAAATTTATTTTGTAGATAACATGTTTTGACCAAGTATCAAATGATTAAATTTATAGACTTCTGGGAAGTGTGGTTCCTGCCAGAATCACAGTAGCCAGAGTAGCCGCCATTGTTGGAGATCACCGCTGCCACACGCCTCAGCATTGATTCAAAGAGACTTTGGATATGTTCTTGGGGTACAGCCAAGGCTATCTAGATTCTGAAGGCTACGACAGAAAACCCCCCGAAAACAAGTCACATGATCAAAGGAGGGACGATTTTCCCCGCGTTTGACAATCACTTCACCAGTCTTCCATTAAAGCTTGTGATATAGTGCTTTGCCTTACCACGTGTTTTTAAATATGAAATGTAGTGAACATAACATCAGCGATATCATTGGATATAAAGAAAGGTAGGGTATTTATATTATTGCATAACTTTATTCTTGAGTCATTGAATTTATTTTTAGTTTTGAAGATAACTGAGTATAATAAACTGATGCATTTATGCCAACATTACTAATTATTTGTAAATAAAGAGATTTTACTCTATATGAGAAATTAGTGTTTAAATTTATATAATTTTTAAACTATCAAATCCTTATTTTAAAAAAAATATTAAAGTGTTTTAAATAACTTTAACCAAAAAACTCCACACATTTTATAGTAATACCTCGTTATTGTTATACTTAACTGTTCATCAAATAAGATAATATCCTTGCATTTTCCCGGCTGTCCATCTTATTTCAATGAGATAACATATTGATTAACATATTTCAGTGAATTGCTAAATATTCTTAATACGGTTAATGTTTTTGAAGAAATCTGCTTTATATTAATTCTGTTCATCATGTTATGGCTATTCAATCTTAAGAAAAGTATGTTTAATTTTTTATAATACATGAAAAATTATGCAAGCTGAAAAATAATTGCGCTTTTCGGATAAATATATTCACTGAAAAATTTAATTTCAAATTATTCAGGAGAGATATTTAATGTTGAAGAAGATATTAAGGATCTCAACAAAGTATTAAACATTTCAAATAAATTAGAGGATATCTCAATAGAAGAGAATAAAATTTTAATGTACATTACGGGTTATGCGTGCATAATATAAAATTCGGATGCTCTGATTGCAAATGTATATTTCTTTCAAATGAAGAGATCAATTTCGAAAGTTAATTGCCAATTATCTGTTTATAAGCACAACAGAAGAATATTTGGAATTATATGAGTTGTGGAATGTTTCGCATCCGCGTTTCATTCATCTTGTGTAAAATGTAAACACACCGCATTTTCATTTTTTTAAAAATATATTCATTACATTCGGGAATATAAGCTTAAATAATTATTCAAAAAAGCGCAATGAAGAAATTTTAACAGTGAAGGATAATCGAAAAATAAGGAAATTTAAGGCCAGTTAGATCAATGTTGCTGTTTATATTTCATTTTTTATTTATTTAAATATTCAATCATTGATTGGTGTATTGTTCAATGTACATGTACTTCCTTATACTTAATTTTTTTTATTCAAAATAGATTTTATGCACATGTGTAAAATAGAGTTCACATAACTATATTACTCAAAGAAAAGTTCTATTTATTTACATTATTCGTTTAAACCCATTTTCATGAAGATTTTAGGTTGAAGGATGTTAAATGAAAAAATACTTTTTTAATTTAAAAAATTTGTTTGATTTTAAATATTTTTACCTAGACATAATATTTTTTTGTAACACATAAAAAAATCGTAAAAATTGGTTTGAATAATATCAGTACAAATCCAAATGATTCAAAACTTGAAAGTAATCAGTATATTACCTTATTAATGATATATTCTATAAAAAGTTTTTTTTCCAGATTTAGGTAAAGTATTTTTCTAATGAATATATTTCCTAACGCATAATCTAGAATCTATTTTGTTGTATATTACGTGGTATCTAAAACTGCTTGTGTCATTTTTTATATTTGTATATATTTTTTCATGAATTGTGCATTCTTTTTTTTGTATATATTTTTGCATGAATTTTGCATTTGTATATCTTTTTGCATACATTTAGCCTTCATTATTGATTCATTGATTACAGCAAAAATGTTGCTAAATTCACATGTTTTTTATTAATATATCTAATGCTTTACTTTCATATTTTCTGTAAGTAAATGTTGCTTTTGTTATTTTATCTGATTGAAAATATTTTATATTGAGTCAGTTTTTACTTAGATGTTTTTTACATTGTTATGAGCCTTTCACGAGTGATATTTCCCCCTTTTTCCTGGAAAATATTAGACATCTTTCTAACGTATTAATACATAACTTTCATCTGAAAATATTCTAAAAAGAGAATTATAAAAATAATTAAAAAGTGGAAATATTACTCTACGACCTAAAAGAAATAAATGTCGTAAGCTTTATATTCCTGACACCACTGCACTAGCAAAAACGTTCCCTCCTTTCGTGACGTCATCAAAAATCTGTCGTGGCCTGGTACTTCAAGATGGCCTTGTAAAAGACCAAGCAGCCCACACGTTGCCAAAGTTGAACTGGGTGGCAGCTGGGGTGTAATCTGGGTCAATCATTGAGCAACCATGGACCACATGTTTTCATGGCAAAGATCCGGAGAGTGCTCCGGCCAGGGGAAACAATTTAATCTGGTGATTGACGAAGAACCTTTGGACAATGCGTGTCACCTGTGGTTGCGCATTATCCTGTTTAAATATGGCTGTGGCCAAGCCCTGAAGGTAAGGAAGGACAACTGGCTCCAACATCTCGGAGATGTAGCGCTGGCTGTTTAAAGTACCGGCAATGCGTACTAGAGGAATGCGAGAGTGATATCCAATACGGCCCCATACCATAATACCCGGTGCAGGACCAGTGTGACGGTGCATAACGCAGCTGTTCAGTATCCTCTCTCCACGGTGTCTTCAGACTCGAATCCGACCATCGTAGTGTTGCAGACAGATGTGTGACTCGTCAGTAAAGACAACTTCATTCCATTCTGCCGCCCATATCCTTCTTTCATCGCACCATTGGCGGCGGAGACGTCAATGGTTCTGCGTCAAGGATAGACCAAGCAATGGACGTCTTGCGGACAGACCACTCTGCTGTAAACGGCGTCGAATGGTACACGCAGACACTGAATGATGCGTTACAGACTCAATGTGCTGTGCTATGGTTCGTTATGTGATTGAGTGATCCGTCACTGCCATGCGCACAATTTGCCTGTCCTCCCGTGAAGTGGTGCACTGAGGTGGATGCGATCGACCGCGTTGGTCCGTTGTACCCTCCTGCATCCAACGGTCACATATCCGCATTACAGTTGTTTGGTTTCGTCCAACACGACTACCGTTTTCCCTGAAAGATAATCCACAATCTCGGTAGGCCACTATCCTTCCTCTGTCGAACTCGGATACTTGATCAAAAGCATATCGCTGTTTTCTACGAGACATAACTGATCGTTTTTTGAAAAAACCACAATTGCCGAACTTGAAATCTTCGAAATCTCCCTTAAATAGCGCTTTGAGGTGGCGCCACAGGCGCGCGTGATGTGTGTCTGATCATTTGCATATCTCACCCTCGCTAATGCATGTTGTAAATTTCATGTTATTTGCATGCTTCCTTCAGGGTGTTGCATTTACGGTGGCCAGCAGTGTATATATATATATATATATATATATATATATATATATATATATTTCTCCTCAAATAAATTTCAAAATGAAAAAACTTTAAAAACCTGATGTTTAAAATTTTTTAAAAAAGAGTCGGCAGGCCGCGTGTTGGACACCCCTGTTCTAGAACAGTGATGCTCTAACTACGACCTACGGGTCGAATGTGACCTGTCTAGATTCTATTAAGCCCACCGCAAAAACAACTTATTTGCTTCAATTTTTCTCAAAATATTTTCTTTATGACG